CGGCCAGACATGCATGATCTCTCCCCAAAACAGCAGGCTTGGACTTAAAAAAAAAAAGCTAAATGTCTGCCAGTTGGCTGTTTGGGAGTTTTAGCTTTTTAAAGAAAGGGTTTGTAAGCACAGCCGTGACTGATCTTACGTGTGGTCTGTTCTGTATGCTGCACTCCTTGTTGGAAATATGTGTCTTGCAAGGTCTAAAATTCAGTCACTATAGGGTTAATGTGTGCTATTGTTTAGACTGACCTGGAAGGAAACCTGGTACAGAGCCAATGGAAACAAAGGCTGCAAAACTGAAGTCTGTTTACTCACAATAATTGGTTATTGGTTAATATATTCAGGTGATTTCCTTCTAGGGGTCAAGAAGAAGAATCTCCATTGTTGTAGACCGTGTGGTCAAAATGTAAAGATGTAACCTTAGGTGTCTTTGTTGTTTTGTAGATTTCCTGTGAACCCTTCCCTTAGAAATAAAGGTTTTTACATAGAAGAAAATGCCTCGTGAAGCAAAGATCCATTGCAATCTCTGAATACCTAACTATTTTTACCAATTTTCTAACACTCCTCACTTCTGTGTCCAGCTAATGTATTTTGCAATTTTTTTCTAGGCTAATTCATCACAACTCAATGCTTGGTAAAGGTTACTACTGTGTCTTGCTGCCATTTTGGCTGTGAGCTGGCACAGCGGGACTGCTTCTTGTTTCTGCCAAAATGGGTCTGAGGTTAATGGGCGAGGCCTCCAAGGAAGCGGACTAGAGATAGACATTTCTTTTCTTTACACTTTCTAAATTTTGCCTGGGGTTCAGCCCCGTAGCTAGGGATTTTTTGGGGAGGGGGCCTTGGGGGGGGCACCAGCTAATTACATCAAAGGCTCCAGGGCAAGGGGGGTCTGCCTTGTGTGCACCCACACAGCCCCCACTAGAGCCTTCCTCTGAGGTGAGCCAGAATCCCAATGTTAATAGACACAAGGGCCCCGGTCACACGGGCAGGAAACTGCGGGGGAGAAGCGTGGCTGTTTGCCCTGGGGCAAACTACTGCGCAGTTACTCGATCAGACCTCCCGTGGAGGTCCTGTGGAGGTACCGTGGAGGTTCCATGGCAAGGGAGAGGTGCTGATCACAGGACAAGCCGGCGTGCAACGAAGAAGCGCGTGCCGCGGCAAACTGTTTATTTTTTGTGTGTACACGACGAATGCGCATGCTCCGTTGGGTGCGTGTGCGCATCCACAGAGATGTGGACAAAAAAACCCAACACCTTATTTACAAGGGGACATGGGCGGGCGCCGGATGCCACCGGAACCGCGATCAGACGCCCGCCCTTGCCCCGCAGTTTCCGGAAACTAGTACCTCCGAAGTACTAGTTTTTTGCCACGCAGTTTCGGCT